CGTAAATTTGACAAACCGTGTATAGAACAAGAAGTATTCGCATTTATAAATCCTACGACCATTACGATAATAATTACTCTATGTCTATGATACTTGGCTTCTTCCGGCTGCACTCTTGACATCGTCACCACATGAGTCAGAAGCTTGTAACAGATGTCAAGGACTCACTAGTTTAAGAGTTTGAATTAAAACTGAAACCGACAAATGACTACGGTGTAAGTGTGAAGATAGTTTTTTACCCCTCCCCCACCCATCAACCTAGAGTCCCAGAAGGTTAAGGGTCTCGAAATTGAATTCCTTCCAACTCATTCCTTCCCAGTGCCAAGATATTCTCCCACTCAAAGATTTATCTGTTACACAGGTGTGTCTCTGGATATATAAGTATGTAAATTGTCTGTGTATTTGTTTGGATTGTCTGACATTTAATTGTAGGCTTGAGGGTTCACGTAATTGGATATGTGAAGAATGGATGTTAAAATATATTCTGATCATATGACCACTAAAGCTTTATGTAAAGTAATTGGACAAAATTGAAAATCGTATGATTACTAATAAATCGCTTTCGATTTATTTAAATTACCCGTGCAGTTTTTACCGTTTTTATTTTTGCTAAGGGCCTTCTTAAATATATTGTATAGTTATGACAAAACAAATTTAAAAAGTATCAATATACATTTATTCTGTGAAATTTCCGTCGGGTTTAAAAACTTATAAAATGTAATGTATAATTTAACAATGTCTTAAAAAAACATAAAAAAAACATTTGAAAACTATGCAAATAACCTGTCATACTACCTGTACATACAGTTATAACTATGTACTAAAACACAGCTTTCGCTCAAATTGAACATATTTGAACAGACCATAGATCGCTTTCCGTTTTCTCATGTAGACTTTTTTTCTCAGAGTGTATGTTATACCTCCTGTTTGGATCCACATTGATGATTGTATACATTTAGACTGGAATCACTTAAATAACAATACAAGTGGTAGCTGTCAATGGTTCAAGTGGCTCTTGACCGTGGAATCAGCACTTGAGGAATTGATTCCAGCAGCTTCATTTCAGCTTCCTCGTGCACTAATAACAGGATAATACACTTATACAATTACTTGCTATTAAATAAGAAGCACCAAATAATGTTTTTAGTTTTTAATATTAGACTCTGAAAAATTATAATTGTTGATTTATAACAACTTGTTCAAAAATTTGCATTGTTTTTATATTTGAGACCATCATTAAAATGCATGAAAGAGTGCATTCGAGTGATTTATAGAAAACAACCCTTCGTTTAGACTTTAAAGTTTAACAATCCACAACAACATATAAACTTTCCATATCTGTTGTGTACAAAGGTAAGGCTTTTAACACTTGTTCATTCTCATTCCCCCCCTAATTTGGGCATGCCAAATCCAATAAAATTATTTTCTATCTTGAAAAATGTCCGAAAAGGGCCCAATTTGGCAATTTTGGCCCAATTTATTAGTACAATAATTTAAAGGTCTAATCACTCCAATCCTTTTGGTGCAAAAAATAATTATGATTTACAGAGTGGGTCAAAATGTTTTAAAAGAGGACTTTGAAGTAAAGTACCCTATTACCCTAACTACTGAACGGAACTGCGCCAATTTTGTTTCAAGTTAATTCTTGAGCTACTCTTTAAGATAACTTGTAGTAAGGGCATTTTCTATGTTATTTTCCAATTTAAAAAAATCGCAAATTTGAAGAATAAAAGAAAGCTGAAAACTCAAAATTCTTAAATAGCTAAGGTATAGTAAATTGCATATCATGTGAAAGGTGCTTTTTAAACAAACATTTTATGAAATTAAGTTTTCTTTCTATGTCTTACCGTTTAAAAATTGCAGTAGAAAAACATAACTTTCTATGGTAAAATTATAGTTAGTTTTCTAATAAAACACATTGCACTTTTCTCAACAATGTAGTAAGATCCATTACATATTGATCAACTACTTTTACTTGTGTCATCCTTCATCCTGTTCTTTTCTTTTTGGTAACTGAACAAGTTTCAGAAAACTTCCTAACTAAATCTAAAGAACGGTTGCCATTTTTGACTCGGTTGTTAGTTTGAATTCAAATGTGCGGCTCTGTATTTTACAATTAAAGACCTTTAATTTGATATGTATATCAACCTATGCTTACATCAAAGATATTCTTCTTTATCCTTGTGGGCCGTACCCCTGGATGAAAGGAAATTGATAATTGCTTAAAAAGGTAGGTTTTCATGATAAATACCTAGATACAAACCTCTACCTCCGTATCTTTCTTAGTAACAAAAAATAATAAGCCGTTCCGGGACTTTTTTAACACACTGCACATCTATTATATTATTAAAGTGATACAATCAAATTTTATGTAAACGGTTAAGGTCATTTACCAAATAAAAATATAGGCATATGGCACATCAAAATGAAGTTTAGAGTGTGTAGATTTGCCGAAAAGTATTGATATGCACGAATTTCCTAAGGGGTTTGCCCCACAGGCTGATTTCCAAAGGGCTACGCCTGGCATGCTTTCAATGTTTAAATGATTTAATTCAATTTAGTTAATGATACAGCTGGTCAGTACAATGAACTGGTGTTTGTTTATTTACTCGAAAGATATGTTTGTGACGCTTTATGTAGATTGATGAGGGTTATGTTTGGTTTTAAAGTGAGGTTATATACGTTTTGTAAAGTATTGCTCAAAGTTTCATTTTTTAATTTATATAGTAAGCTACGTATGAAAAGGATAGACTAAAATTGAAGAATTATGGTAAAACATGTCATTAATGAAGCATCAATATGAAGGAATTGATGCTATTGTTACACTAAGGTATGTTGTTATATTCTCATGGATCTATTAACATCAAAAGTAGGGGGTTGAAAGTAAGTAGGTTTACACTTTTAATTAAATCAGTTTATAATTTCTAACTAAATCATAGAGTTGCTGTATGGACCCAGCTGTTCCTGATCATTGGGCTTTAAATAAATGATCCTGACTAATGAAACCGCTGATATTAGTCAGTAACAAAGCTACACAGGTCATCTTTCTTAGCTACACACCATTCTTCACTCATGCTTCATTCATATTTGGGTTAAAATACACACCTAGGTGGCGTCCCCATCTCAATGATTGATTGATTGATTTTAAAACACACATCAGCACCACTTTAATAGCTCTCTAGGTCACATTGTCTTCCCGTTGCAAAGCACAGGTATAGCAGCTTGTTAGTTATTACTTTTCCTTGAATCTCAAGTATCCCTTATATTGAAACTCCAAAGTCATAGAATCACAAATCAAATCAAATATATTTGTATTAGGTCCTACTGGTCTCTAATAATTACAAGTAAACCCCAGTAACATTATTGTAAACAATTTTCATACGAGCACTAGTTGTTAGTAATTGGGAGATGACACTAGTGCAGAGTGGGAGAGGCGGCTGAGAACTGATGTTTGGTGTGATTTAATTGAAGGCAACACAACCACCTGCTTCACATCATCTATCAGGGTTAGAGGTAACAGGTTTTGGTTAAGATTATACAATATGTTTCCCGCTTTGTTCTGTGCGAGCCCTCTAATCCAGACTAATGTATTGGTACATGCTCCACTCGTCCTTGTGAATTGTTTAATTTTCAGACAAGTGTACGTGCTGTACTTGAATACTTTCAATGAAATTGCAGTTTACAAGTTTTTAAAGTGGCTTAAATATTGTAATTACTGTTATGTACAGTCCCATTCTTTGTTTTGTCTATGACAACACATAAATTGCAAGGTTATACACAACAGTTTCCTTTTGTCATATGATTATAATAATAGAAGCATTGGTGATACATTTATTTAAGTGTTCAAAATTGAATATTGGACCAATTTGCATTTATATGAATTTGAATTAAAATTTTTCCAATTCTCTTTGCCTGTGGCCTTTTCCCTGGAGGTACGATAGGAGATACTTGTATAGGGGAGATACAAAAATTGTCATTTAATTTTTTAATACAGTTCACATGTAAAGATTACTTTTAGTATGTTTACTACTAAAATTTTAAAATTAAGGATCCGTATGTACAAATATTATAAGATGTATGTCATAAGCTTCTATATTAATTGTAATAATTTATTTTATTATATTCAATTACATTAGGGTTGTTGCCTGTGTAGTACAATAGTTCGATCACCGACAAATACACGATTTGACGTATTTTAACCATGTTCCATTTCTTTTTTAAAGTGAAAGTAAACATTTACGAGTATTTGTGATACTGTGAAAATCTCACTTTCGTAGACACAAAAAACGCTGTACACGTTTAGACAAATGTTTAAAGAATTTTTCTTAGCTACTGAAATGATTGAATCTTGACAATAATATAAATATCTTCCTAGAACATTTTTCTGCTAAAAAACGTATAGGGAAGTGTTCACAATACTCATTTTTGACCGAACAAATTTTGGTTCTTTGGGATGATTCATTTCACCCACGAAAACTTTGTGTTCGTAATAAATAATTTACCGGTACCCACAAAAAAAAAAACGTGCGTAAGCAGCCATTTGATATTACCGAGACCAAACTTTAAATTTCAACCACAGCAAAAATTAGAATGGTAAATACAGTATTTTTCCGATCGTAGTTTTCTACATACCTGTCAAAAAGGATTGTATGTATAATTATTTGTTAAATTTGTATTTTCTTAGTTGTCTATTAAAACGTGCTAAATATCCCCGAAAACATAAATTATGCAAATACCACTAAAACCACTCCAACCACAGCATTATAGATAGACCATGAATAATCTTTATTTACGAAACTACTCAATCAACTCAGTCTCCCCTATTGATGGTCACATCTGCCACCATCGTATTGCTGCATTGTGGAAGTTCATCTACAGAAAATCACCCCACAATACTAGTGCCCTGGGATATTTTGGATACCCCTGTCTTGACCCTGCTGCCCCCCCCCAGAACACTCACACAAACACACGAGCTCACATGTTCTACAGCTAGTCGCTCCTCGTTCGCGTGTTTATAATAAGAATCAGTCACCGATGGTCCGCCGAGCGTGCACGATGAGAGGCATTGTTTAAGTTACCTACTACGAGATAAATTTGTGTTAACTTCACAGCATACTTGTGTATTGAGGACTGGTCTATCATGGTGGACAGAGATGCTAGATTGTGGTTGAGTGGATTTATACCCAAGAAAGTGGTGGATACGACTCTATGATGTGGATTTACAACTTGGTTTTCGCATTGTTTTACACCTCCACATTGGGTAAGTTTGTGTTAAATCATTGTTTCATTCAAATAACCATTTTTTGTAATCTTATCGATATTTTTGTTATGTATTTTTTGTCCATGTTATAAAATAGTTTATTGTAATTTGTTGTGTAGCCAATTATAGGGTAGTATATTTAAGTGGCGTGATACTGCCTGTGGTATCATGGTGATTAGGCAAATCAATCAATATTTTAAAAGACATTTAGTTAGTTTCAAAACCTTTTTTAAATGCAATAGTTGGACACTTTTTTCGTGCAAAATGTGATTTCTGAGACTCCGTTAAACTGCTGGTCTACCAAATCTAGTATTTGGCCAACTACTTTGCTCATCATTTCCCCAGTGAATTGATGAGCAAAGATACTACGCTTGTACAGTGCATTGTGATGATCTGGTTTTAAGCGATTGCAACATCAATTGATGACCGTTTGCTCACTAGTTCTCACTATTGTCCGTATGTGAGATACAGAGGCCTACATCCATGACAGATGTGGGTTTCAATGTTCGATTGAAAATGTATTGACCGTTCATTGAAATGGTGAAACGATCATGAATAAGTGTAACCACAGAAAATATGCCATTATTTATTGCTCTTATATTATATATGATTTAATAGTTTTGTTCACTTTTAGGGCTACTTTTTCAATAAATAAGTGAAATAATAAATACCAGAGTACTCTGAAATTTATTATTTAGGCACAAAGGCCATGATCACAGTATTAGTTATAAAAAGTATGTAAAAAAAATTTAATATATACTTAATAACATATGTTTTGAATTCATAGTAAATTTTGATTAAATGGTCAGGTGCATTTCATGTGAATGTATAAGATTCTTCCTTGATTTGTCTGATTTTTTCATGAATTTGATTTTGTTTTTGCATTACATTGTGAATTTGGTCACCGTGTTCTTTTGAGTGTAGATAGATTTGCAGTTCTTCTTTTATATCAATTTTTCCGCCCTTTTTCTCATAGTTTAGAATTTCAACACATTCTTCTAATTTTCCACAATTCTGAATTAATTGTTTTCTAATATGTGTTCTGCGTATACATATGTATATACAGGGTGACAAAAAAGTCTGGAAACGGCTTGATATCTTTTTAACTAAACTCGTTAGAAAATTTAAACCGGTACTTACGTATTATACGGAGGCCACATATTTTACAGCGCGCTGCAGCGGTTATGTTAGGTTGGGTTATCATAAATATATGTTTTTTTTTATCAAATTAAACTATCTTAACCTAACCTAACCAACCAAACTTGCTGATGGTGAAGGTTTACTAATCGAATCGAATCTGTAGGTTAGGTGGCCTCCGTTTAATACGTAAGTACCTTTAAACCTTTCACATCAACTTATATGTATAGAAACTACTTTTTGCAAGCATTACCATTTTTTTACCTTCAACAGGGGACGGCCCATGAAGATTAGGTAGATAATCTTTAACGTAAGCATAGTTTGATATGCACATCATTTTAAGGGTCTAGTCAAGTGGAGTTCATTGCTGGAAACCCCGTCAAAAATGGTTCATCCGTCACAAAATGGTGACAGTTAAAAGTTCTTGCGGAATATATTACCTGCACTCGTAGTCAACATTAGCCGGGAAATCTGAAACCCGGTTAAATTTGTTTTAAAGATTGGATAATATTAGTATATGAGCTAGTTGATTTTAAAATACAATTTCAGCTCTCAAGCTATTGTCAAATACCAGTATTTACCAATACTAAGGCCTGTGCACTGTGCAGGTATGTTACACAAGCACTTTGGACAGCCGCCATTTTGTAACAGATGAACCTTTTGAGACGTGGTTTCCAGCAATGAACTCCACTTGACTAACCCTTTAAAATGAGGTGCATATCAACCTATGATTACATTAAAGATTATGTACCTACTCCTCATGGGTCGTCCCCTGTTAGAGGTAAAAAATTTTAATGCTTGGAAAAAGTAGTTTTCGTACATGTAAGTTGATGGGAAATGTTTGAATTTTCTAATGGATTTAGTTTATAAGATATTAAGTAATTTCCAGACTTTTTGTCGCCCTGTATTCGTTAGTGTGATAATTTGAACAAAAATGATCCGATTTTGATGAAATTTTGTACAAATGTGTAAACCTGCGTTTATTCTATCAAAAACAAGCATGATCGGACTATGGGAACGGCGGCTTATGGGGGGTTTTATGGAAAAAATTGGGTATTCTCATTTTTTACTCTAAAATGATAAAATTTTAAAATTTATTTCCAGAACATTTTGAAGAGCTTAAAAAAAGAAATAGTTTTGTATAAGAAGCGTTGTTGTATGCCAAACAGTTACGGAGGTAATTAAAAACAACTTTATATTTAAAATTCCCTTGTTATTCTTATGAAGAATTAATAAACTGTTGTAGTTTGTTTTATGAACATATTTTATGAATCAAATTTGGCAATTTCGTGTAAATGTCATACTAAGCTATTAACTTTTCGATAAAAAAACAAACCTTTTCTGTAGAAACAAACCTATGTATTAATGAATATTAATGAATGAATGTATATTAATGAATATTAAAATTAATTTTAATTTAATAGGAAATAAATCTGAAAATTTTTAGGGAATATTTTAGTAGAAATCCAGCCAGGTAAATTGAGATTCGCTTAGTCTGCAGGTTTGCTGCGGTGAGGGTATACTTTTGTTCTCATATTTTATAGAATCTATATTTCTATATTACTTGTAAATAAAAATGGAAAGAAAATATTAAGCTTTATTGGCAAATATTACTGAATAAAGCGTTTTCAATCTAAAGAGAAATCTATACCATTATATAAAAATCTAATGGTGTCTGTATGTGTATTACTAATAGGTGCAAAAACTACTGAACCGACTGGGCTTAAATTTTACAAAAATATAGCTACCACACCAAGGACCATTATAGGACTATTCACATTTCGATACTGACTGTAGGCTTTGCCCCTTTGGCTTTAAAAGTTCTGAGGTGAACATTTTAAAAGTAAATATTGATTGGTCTCCATGGCTGTGATGAGAACACTAACAATGTTTGTTTACATTTGCTTTGACATTTAAATATAAACAAGAAGAACTGCTAACCTGCATATATCACAGTTTCAGACAGCTGATATCAAGAAATTAAATATAATATTTTCCATAAATATGAGGTAGGTTTATTTTAATCTAACTCTTTTCATGGATTATTTATTCTAACACTATGTCGTTGCTTTTTGTTTTCTAAAATCTGTTGTATATGTGTAACTATATTTAATTATCAAACGGTAATACAAAATACTCTTATTTTATCTCAACATAGCTTTCAGTTCACATTTACTTTATTTGATACATTTATTATTTGTGTTTTGCCACACCACTGATTAAATTAAACCAAGAAAAATATCATAAAACTAAGCAGTACACAGTGTTCTTTTGTTGCTGGTGCTTCTGTCTATGGCCTTATCACCAAAGACAAATATTTCGGCAAGCCAAAGAAAGAAGATTATGAAAAAACATTCAGTGATTTAACTAAAGACTTTAAGCAGAAAGGTCTCAAGCATTTAATATGCTCCCCAGTAGGCTGTGTGCGGGATAATGTAAATTTAAAACAATTTGTAATTAACATATTAAAGTTTCAACAGTACACAAATGCATCAGTTACTGTGGTTTCTTATTACCAGAAATCTTTCAGAAGACTTCGCAATGGACTGTCTCACGAAGAGTTTTTAAGACAAATAATTCAGACTTTGTATGATCAACAAAAACACTACTCGGAAACATCAGCCAGTGAGTCATTACTGTCCCTTGAACCTTGGAGTAATTCAGATGGAGAAGTCATCCTGTGAACCTTGCTCAACAAACACCGCACATTCAACACCTAAAGTGAGAGGGCATCACCTTGAGAATTATGCAGCGGTACTTAAAGAATGTCCACCAACATCTGATGTGATAGTGTCAAGTGAGAAAGAGCAGAGCACAGTGAAAGTGTCCGAGGTCTTAAATTGTAGTGATAATGAAAATGCTTCTTTTTTAAGCTCAACCAGCCAGACTTTAGGACAAACTTAATTACTCAAGATGTTATGGGGTCAACTGATTTTTCCAATATATTTAATACATTTAATTCCAAAAAAGGGGTTAATATTTTTTTCTGGAATATTCAAGTTGAACACTTTCAAATCAAAAATGAAAACATATTTAATACAAAAATGCCCGTATACAGTGGAGGATTTTTTTACATGTCAAAATATTTCTATTTAATTGTGCCTGTATTTTATATGTATATATATAATTTTTTATTGTACTGTCTTATTATATTGATTGATTACATGTAAGTATTCATTTGCTGTATTTAATAACATCATTATGTATTTTGTGACGATTGTTAATAAATGGTGTCTATGCTTGTGAATATCATCTGTTACTTTGTTTTCTTAATGGTAAGTGTGAAAATGTGAAGGCAATGGACGATGGAACTGATTAAAAGAAGTGGTTTGTATTGTATATTAAGTTGTTTGTTGATATTTTTGTATAGTAGAATCAGAGATGCAATGAAACATATACTGTATTTGCTATTACATTTTTTAGTCCTTGATGCTTTGACAATCATATTAGTTTTGTATGCTGTCTTTAATGCTAAATTATTTGTTTTAAATTTGTTAAGTACCTATAGATATAATTTCTTTAATATTTCAAAGGACTGTATTGATAAGGCACAGCAATATTTCTAAAGTTTCTAACAGCTGACTTAGTTTTGCTAATGATTTATTGTGAGTGAAAAAACTGAACATGAAAGGATTTGTTATCTATATATATAAAAGGCAAAGCCCTCACTGACTGACTGACTCACTCATCACTAATTCTCCCACTTACCACTTACCTAGAAGGCTGAAATTTGGTACACTGATTCTTTAGGCCTTAAATAGGAAAACTAAGTGGTTTTTATTCTGATCGGACTCTCGGGCTCCGCCCCAGTGGCTCTGGAGTTTCCCATGTTAACCTAATGAGTACTCATATTTAAATGGAAT